CCATGCCGCACTTCACCGTCGTGCCGGTGGAGGATAAGCCGCGGGCCGGCTACGACGCCTTGGAAGGGCTGAGCTGGGTGGACTACAGCCAGCCCGGGGCGGACGGGGCGCCCCGCGCGTCCTGCCAGCGCGATCCCTACGACTCGGTCAGCTCCGACGGTGAGTGGCGGGGAAGCGGGCTGGGTTGGGCTGGGCTGGCTCGGTTCCCAGCGCCCGGGGGCCCCGTTCTGCTCTCGGCGGCGCAGAGGGCGCTTGGTGAGGCGCGGTTCTGCTTGGCGAGGCGCTTGGCGAGCGCTGGAAGCGCTGCCCGAGGTGGCTTTCGGGGTAGTGAGCGCTTGAGCCCGGCTGGAGACTAGGGGGCAGGGGGTCTCTGACCACGGGCAGAGTTTTCGAAGTCGCCCAGCTGCAAGGGAGGCGAGGAGGCGCTTCGTTGACTCCAGGGGTATTAATGGCCAATGCGGAGCGCGTTACACTAAGGATGGGGCAGAATTGAGACCCGCCGCCGCTGCTGCTGCTTCTAGGACAACCACGCCAGAGTTTTTCTAAGCCAGCGTCCCCACTCTTTTGCCCTGCCAATGTTCTGGACTACAGTTCCCATCGTCTGGGAGATGCTGGGTGGGTCGGTGCGCCCAATACCTGGAGGGGAAGCTGGTCTTAGGAAGCTGTTTGGAGCTAACAGAAGTTACCCTGTTTTGTTTTGTTTAAGGTTTAATGCTTATAGTTTTGATTTTAACAGTTTCGCAGAGGGAGGAGAAGGAGATAGGGAGGAAGAAAAGGGGGGGCGGCTAAGGTGGACTGCAGGCAATATAATCCTCCCTGCCCTTCTAATGCTGGCTGGGGAATTCTGGGAGTTGAACTCCACACATCTTCAAGTTGCCAAGGTTGAGAAACACTGGTTTACACCAAGGGATATGGAAAAGGCAGGGCTTACAAAACTCTACCCAAACTATACAAACTACATCGTGCGCCTTAGCGTGGATGAGTCACAAAGCTGGAAAGGCCCTTGAGTCCCCCCATCTCCCTTCCCTGCTAATAAAAGAAATTAGGGATGGGCTAAATTTGTTGATCTTGAAGTGATTCTTTTTGTTTCCAGACCATGCAATTTGGGGAGCATTTTGGCAGGTTTGGATATAAATCCTTTGAACCAGAAGCATCACCATTTCTGAATTTTACACATCTCTAAAAGAAACTCTGAGCTAGAACCTACTCAGTAGAAAGGTGGTTCGTCTTCTGCATAAAGATCTCCACTCCCAAAGGGTTCTGATGGGCAAAGTGTTCGTGTTGAACTAATGTAAAGTTAGCTTAAGGCAGTGTTTCTCAATTTTTTTGTAATCATGGACCATTAAATAAACGTTTTAAAAAATAAGTTCACTAAATAAAAACCTGCACAGGAATTCCATTTTTCATAAAATAATCACACTTGCATTCGCATATGCCTCCAGTTTTAAAGGCTGTTTAAAATTAAAGTTTGTCCCCAAAAGTTACCCCCCTTAAGTGTTTATTTGCTAATTCAGTTATGTATAGATACCCCCATGCCATCAAAGCAGCAACTCTTAGCCCAAACTTGCTTGTCCAGAATGTTCTTTGGTAGAAATCTAAGTACGAAGTAGCTTGGGGGCGAATAGCTCTCCAGTCCAATGAAATCCCATATCCACATGTCCATTGTCCTATTTCCAAGTTGCGTTTTTTGTGTGGGGTTGCATATGTGAAATCACACTCCACATAGCCCAGCACATGTGGACTTGTAGTCAGTAACTGCTTTCAGGACCGGTTTGCCCTTGTCCATTTTCTGAGTGTTAGTAGTCACATTGCTACTTGTAGTATCCCTTGTATGCTTCAGTGAATCCTTTTGGCTAGCCTTCTGTTTTATTGAAACAGCTGATTGGCAGTGAGAGTGGAAAAATGGTGGTTGAAGCAGTGGGTGGGCTTCCCATGTTTACTGCCAACAATGACTAGCAATGCCTAGCAGTAAACATGGAAAGGCTTTAGTGGACCGCCTGATGGACCTCCACGAACCACTTGATGGACCTCTGTGGACCACTGGTGCATTTTGAGACAGATAGAATGATTCTTCCAATGTTGTATAATAATTTGACTACGCCTCATGAAATGTCCTTAATTCTTGTTGTCTTGATGCATTCCAAATATTGGGGAGGGAGCCAAGAAGAACATGAGTTCTTGATAAGCGACTTAAAGTGGTTGATCACCCTGTGAATTTCAGACCAAAATGTAGCAACGGTAGGACACCACTTAATTTTTTAAAATTGTTCTTCTTTCTGCTCAACAGGCAGATAAAGGTCATTCTGGCTGCATCAAATTGGAGGTGCTGCCAAAGCAGAATTTTGCTTAAATCAAACAAGGAAACCAGTAAGCAGAACAAGAAGCAGGCGTTTTTATGTACTGTATGCCCCCAGAATTATCTGATGCTAGGAGGTATATTACTCTTGGAAGTGGAAGCTCTGTTTTCTGTTCTAGCCAAATAGAATAAGAACCTCTGAGTCCATGAATTTGTGAAAGGCAAGAGTTAGGACAATAGCCAGTATAGTTTTTCTTCATAATGAAGGTTGCTGAAGAATGACTGGAGTTTGGGAGAAATCAGGGATAGATGTGGGGTGTGGAAAGAGTTAAAAGTTTAGTTCTGGTGCCAATTTCAGATTGTTGAGGAACCTCATTTCTCAGTTCTTAGTATACAGCTGCCTGTCTAGGGTCCTTCCAGCACAGGGACTAAAGGCTTGTAGTATTAAAAATATGATTGACTCTGGAAACCTGTCTGACACATGAAATCAAGGGCTGAAGGTGACACTGGGAAATTTTTTTAAAAAATCTCAGAAGAAGGCTGTGGAAAACCAAGAAAACTACTCAGATGTTGTGGTAGACTTCCTGAACGTATCCAAGAATTGGGTTTGATTTGAAAAGTTGACTTA